GCCCTCAGAAGAGCTTTATCAAAGAGCATCACCAGAGGTCAAAACTCCATTGTTGCCCCGATTAAAGGCGTTGTTTCGATGAAGGAAAATGATTGGATGGTGGGTTCAGAGAAGCAAAATGAGCTAACAATCAGTAGTAGTGTGAATTTCAGCAGTGAGTGTAGCTTGGATAATGATGATTCATTGGAGAATCAGAATCTTCAGTGGGCTCAAGGAAAAGCCGGGGAGGATCGAGTTCATGTGGTGATCTCTGAGGAGCATGAATGGGTTTTTGTAGGGATTTATGATGGATTCAATGGCCCTGATGCACCTGATTATTTGTTATCCAATTTGTATTCAGCTGTTCATAAAGAGCTCAAAGGTTTGTTATGGGATGACAATAATAAGACTGACAATTCATTGGTTTCTAATTCATATGCTGTGACTGAGAATGGAAACTTGGAAGCTGGTGATTTGAGTTCAACTAAGAGTTCCGATGTGGAAGTTTTACGGGATAGGACTAAGGATGGTTGTTCGAGATGTGTAGAGCAAGAAAATTATCCTAGCGAAAATAGGGATTTGTGGTATAGGAAAAAACAGGGGAGGAATTTGAAGAGTAAGTATAAAGGAGCAGCGAAGAAATGGGAGGAGAATCAGAGGAGGTGGAGATGTGAATGGGACAGGGAAAGATTAGAGCTTGATAGGAGATTAAAAGAGCAGTTTGGATCAGGAGCGGCTAATCATGTGGATGTGCTAAAAGCCCTTTCGCAAGCATTGAAGAAAACGGAGGATGCATATTTGGATCTTGCAGATAAGATGGTCATGGAGAATCCCGAGCTTTCGTTAATGGGTTCTTGTGTTCTTGTGATGTTGATGAAGGGAGAGGACGTTTATGTGATGAATGTGGGTGATAGTCGAGCAATTCTGGCTCAGAAGAAAGAACCAGATATTTGGAGCCAGGATTTGGAGAGAATCAATGAAGAAACATTACATGATCTCGAGTCGTTTGATGGTGATATGTCAAATGCTTTACCCAGCTTAACTTCTTTTCAACTCACCATGGATCATAGCACCGCCGTGGACGAGGTGAAAAGAAAAAATCTAGATTAAGTTCGTTCGTACATCTGATTTAATTTTATTATGTTTTAGTTTTTAATTGATTGTATAATACTCTATTTCCAGGAAGTTCAAAGAATTCGAAGTGAACACTCGGATGATGCTTCTGCTGTGATTAATGACCGTGTAAAAGGTTCTTTGAAGGTCACTCGAGCTTTTGGTGCCGGTTTTCTCAAGCAGGTATGTCCTGCTATAGGATTTTTGCAGTCAAGTTCTTGCAGTAGACAATGTAGATAAAACATAGATAAAAGTTAAATGTTTTTGATTCCGTTTGTTTGAGAAAAGTAGATTCCTCAATCGGCCACGATAAGTTCTTTCAAGTAAACATCAAAAGTAAGACGAATGATACTTTGTGCAAACCAAGTTTATGCTTACCCTTTCTGAGGTAGAGAAAAGTTGCTTTATTTTCTTTCCATATCTGGGATGGTTGATGACATCCTACCGACTATATTTACCTGAAACTATTTTGCATTTCACTATCACGCGTCGTATAACTTATTCTGCCATTGATTCTAGTGGAAAGTAAGACTTGTCTTGTGGGACTCCATTCCTGGGCCAGAGAGAAAAAGGATATCTTTAGTTTCAAAAAAAAAGAAATTGTCACTTGGCTTGTAGGAAATCTTTTGAGATGATACAATTGGATTGGCAATTTCTAATTGGCTCGTTCGATAAGTGGATTAGACATTACTTTTCCTCTAGACTAAACACTTTCGAAAATAAATAAATAAATAAATAAATAAATTCAAAATAGGCCCAAAAGCAGTTTCAAAAACCACTTTTAGCTTTTTGAAAGTCATGCCAAATCGGCCCGTAATAAGTGGCGGATCTAGGAATCCGAGTGAGATAGGGTGTATGTAGGTGAGCAAGCAGAACCGCTCAATATGTGGAAAAAAACTCTGTTGAGACAATATAGGTGGCCGCCATATCTTCTCGGTTGCTGGCTCTGTCCTTGCCTGTAATACTGCTTATCTCATATGAATAGTATGTTGAACCTCCTCAAGAGTCATGAATAGTTAACACTTTTTCCATTGTCAAACTAGCGCACCAATTGTTCGGTATTCTGCTTTAATTGTATTTCTTTAGGAGAATCTTTGGTGCCAACTATTTCCATCAGAATGCGCTTTCGAAATTTCTTGTGCTCTTATTACTCGTGTTTTTGCAGCCAAAATGGAACGATGCACTTCTAGAGATGTTCAGAATTAACTATATAGGAACTTCTCCTTATATCAACTGTCTACCATCACTCTACCATCACCGATTAGGGCCAAGAGACAGGTTCTTGATATTGTCATCGGACGGACTCTATCAATACTTCACAAACGAAGAGGCTGTATCAGAAGTTGAACTATTTCTCTCTTGGTCACCAGAAGGAGATCCTGCACAACATTTGGTTGAGGAATTGTTGTTCCGTGCAGCAAAAAAAGCTAGTAAGTTTTAATGTCAGTTAGATTATATTGTTGTTTCATTGTACATGTCTAACTGATGCGGGAAAACTAAGATATCATGTTTGTGAATGTTTGATTTTCAGGCATGAATTTTCAAGAACTGCTTGAAATACCACAAGGGGATCGACGTCGCTACCATGACGACGTTTCAATAATCGTTATTTCTTTGGAGGGAAGAATCTGGAGATCATGTGTATAATTACGAAAATATAATAATAAACAGATTATGATTCAAAAAATCTGTCAACTACCCATTTTTGATGTTCTTTTCCTAATCACCTATAGTAACATGACAACAGTTAAGTTCTTAGATTAAGTGAAAACTTAATTGTGAATTGTACTAGGTGATGAGGATTGTAAAGGTGAAAAACTGCTCATCGGTTATAATCTGCCATAGAAAAATTGTAAGTTTTCCTAATAATTGACATCCTATGGAAGAAATTTCGCTCTGCAACTTCATTTTCAGTAATTTTACTGCTTACATTTCAGCTTTTATAGGAATTGTGTCTAAATCTTGAACTATGTATCGTAGTTTTAGTGCTTGAATGATGATCATCAGCGTATGCTTTGCTCGTTTTATGATTGCTAAATAGTAGGCTTAATCTCGGAATTTTTTGTCGGGCTATGTTGTCGTTTTTCGTGCAGAAACTAGGAATTGCACTGGGTCTGTAATATTCACTTTTTCTAACTGCTAACCAATTGAGAAAATGAGAAGTAAATGCAATGTAGGTGGGAAGGTTGGGTATCAGAAATCCGAAAATCCCGTCATTCTGACATTACTTTTCCACCAACAATTCAGATATATTAAGCTAAATTTATTTCGTTTGGCTATACATCGAGTAATAGAATTCAGAATGCCATTAATGGCTTCTCTAAAATTCCACCAAGTCAAGGGAAAATTCATTACTATTCATTTTAGATATTTTCTAATGGAGCCTTTCTTTTTCTTTTTTTTTTTTTTTTGAACGGTAGATCAAAGTGTAAAATTTGGAGTAGTTATATTTTGAACACAAAACAAGGGAAAATTACTATTAAGAATCCTTAGTCTTCCGGAATAGATCAAGTCCTCAGCTTTCAATTTATTATCAACTGGTTCCCCAAGATTTTGACTTTGATACAATTGGGTTCTCAATAGACAGTTGTGTTCTCAATCTTTCATTCACGTTAGGGCTTGGCAAAATGTCCAAACCGAATCGTACCGTGCGAATTTTTTTAAGTTAAATACTTGAACGGGTATCTGAATTAAAAACTGACGGATTCGATTTGGTTATCGATTCTAGACCCAGAACCGAATCTTTCTAAAATTTTTAATTTTTTTATATTGGATAAATCAAATTATTTTAATTTTTTCTAAATAAATTAGCTAATTTTTTAAATTAATGCTCCAACTCTCAAGTCCATGCCTAGCTAGCCCAACACAACCAAATTTCTAAATCCAATTTTTTATTTTAATTTTGGCCCAATTATTAGTTCAATATTAACAATTAGCCCAACTGCCAAGATGGCCAAGACTGGCCTTGTAGACTTGTATTTAATATAATAGTCTTTGTCTCTTTGACCTAAATCACATAACCGGCTAGCAAATCCAGAGAAATTCAAAAAGTGAAAACCTTCAACTACAAGCCGCCGACTCAAACTTTTCCTGTTGAACTGCCAATTGAGAAAATGAGAAGTAAATGCAATGTAGGTGGGAAGGTTGGGTATCAGAAATCCGAAAATCCCGTCATTCTGACATTACTTTTCCACCAACAATTCAGATATATTAAGCTAAATTTATTTCGTTTGGCTATACATCGAGTAATAGAATTCAGAATGCCATTAATGGCTTCTCTAAAATTCCACCAAGTCAAGGGAAAATTCATTACTATTCATTTTAGATATTTTCTAATGGAGCCTTTCTTTTTCTTTTTTTTTTTTTTTTTAAAGGTAGAAATCTTTTTCTTTTTTTTTTTTTTTTGAACGGTAGATCAAAGTGTAAAATTTGGAGTAGTTATATTTTGAACACAAAACAAGGGAAAATTACTATTAAGAATCCTTAGTCTTCCGGAATAGATCAAGTCCTCAGCTTTCAATTTATTATCAACTGGTTCCCCAAGATTTTGACTTTGATACAATTGGGTTCTCAATAGACAGTTGTGTTCTCAATCTTTCATTCACGTTAGGGCTTGGCAAAATGTCCAAACCGAATCGTACCGTGCGAATTTTTTTAAGTTAAATATCTGAACGAGTATCTGAATTAAAAACTGACGGATTCGATTTGGTTATCGATTCTAGACCCAGAACCGAATCTTTCTAAAATTTTTAATTTTTTTATATTGGATAAATCAAATTATTTTAATTTTTTCTAAATAAATTAGCTAATTTTTTAAATTAATGCTCCAACTCTCAAGTCCATGCCTAGCTAGCCCAACACAACCAAATTTTTAAATCCAATTTTTTATTTTAATTTTGGCCCAATTATTAGTTCAATATTAACAATTAAGCCCAACTGCCAAGATGGCCAAGACTGGCCTTGTAGACTTGTATTTAATATAATAGTCTTTGTCTCTTTGACCTAAATCACATAACCGGCTAGCAAATCCAGAGAAATTCAAAAAGTGAAAACCTTCAACTACAAGCCGCCGACTCAAACTTTTCCTGTTGAACTGCCATCGAAGCCGCCGACGCCAAATTTGAACGAGGTAGGTTGTAAGCTTTCCTAATGAAATATGTCTTTGATTTCCCTATGGTGGACTATTGCGCAACATCTATTTTTATTTTATTTTAGTGGACTGTCATTTGTCATTGCTGGTTTGCAGTTGCTAGTCATAGTTTAAGTAGAAACTGTGGCCATTGTGTTTTTATTTTCACTTTCTTTAGCTGCTGTATTTGGGTATTTATGATTCTATGATTTGTTTACACATAGATATCAAGATGATCAGTCCAGAGGGCTCAAATCTTGCACAAAGTTACCTTATATATCTTGATGAAATTCTGTTTTCATTTTATGTTACCCTGTATATCTTGATAAAATTATGTTCCATATTGTTTGTGCAGAATTTAATCAAGTTGCTAGTTAAAGTGATACCAATTTTGAATGCTCAAATGGAAGACCAAAAACAGCCTAAAGAAAGATCAGAAATATGGAATTGTTTCACTAAGATACTTGGTGGAGAAAGAGCAAAATGTAGTTATTGTGGGAGAACATTTAAGGTTGTTTCTACTTCTGCAACTTCTACCATGTGGAAGCATCTAAAAGCTCGTTATATTTATAAGAACACTACAGTTAATGAAAAACAAGCAATATTGACTCGAGAAAACAATGATGGTGGTATTATGGCTATGGTGTTTGATAAAGAAAAGTGTAGAAAAGGATGATGAATTGTCTTTTTCCTTTGTGGAAGATGCGGGTTTTAAGGAATTTGTGCAGCAACTTTGTCCTAGATTTGAGGTTCCT